CATATGGATTTTCTTTTTATAACAATGTTGCTTATTCTTTGCCTCCTAAGCTAATTATTATTTTAATCTCTAAATAAGCTGACACTTCTTTGCATATGGTTTGTCTGTGCAGGCTGGGAAAAATTAGAGCAGTAACCTTTTAACCACAGGGGTTTAATGTAGGTGTTTGTAGATGTACAAAGAACTATGAATCTGTCCAGTATGACTTGTTTGATATTGTGGCGGGATAATGAAATTTCAACGTTAACATTCCTCAAATAAAATGGAAAGAAGACATAGGGAGAAAAGGAGCAGATTTAAAATTAGAGAATCTTCGTGGTTTATGGGTTCCAGGTTATTTGGAATAGAATGAAAGTTAATGCTACATCCTTTTTTCCATCATGCCAGCCAGTGTCTGATCCAAGAATGTCTCTTATTTAAAGGGCAGGGCTCCCTCCACTGTTCTTAAATAAAGGCTTTCACTGTCTGAGATCCAATCCTTCCTGATTTTCACAGTAACATTGTAAGACTGCATGAACAGAATTATTTAATGAAAAGAAGTTTTGCATATGATTCCCCTATCATAAGCCTGTTCAAGTCATATGGTTCGATTTACATTTATGCAAATGTGAGAGAATAGAGTAAAATTACCAAAGGAGGAAAGGACTGTGGCATGTCACAAACAAGATGTGCCTATTTGTATTTATGTTTGCTAATGAAGTTCAGCCAGGACTTGCTCTTTGATTTTGATGCCTGAGTCTGACGTTCCACTTTATGCGTTGTAATTAAAATCTTGCCCACACACATACAAGAGGACACCAAGAAAGGGAGACTTCAAGTTTTAAAAATGCCATTCTGTAACTTGCTTACAGTTTTTCAGGCTTTACAGTTTTTAAGTGATAAAACAGACCTGTGGTATGACATTGTGCCTTAGCTTTAATGTAAGCAGAACTCCTGGCTTAAGCCAATGGAGGATTTGGCCCAATAAACTTTAGTGTCTAGGATGCCCGCTGGAGATGTTTTATCCCAGACTTTCCAAATTTTACCCTGAATAAGAATTAAACATCAACTCACCCAGAAATCACAGCTGTCTTTCTCTTGTTAAAATTATTCTTTCTCATCATGTTACAGCTATGAAATTATGCACTAGTGTAAATTGTTAACTGGAAACCATTTCTCGCCAAGGTACCTGTTCAGAAGTCTTAGTTTTCTAACCTTATATGTTACCTAATTGAGGAGCACTCACATCTTCAGATTTCGCTGGGACTTGTTTCTGTAGATCACAGCGTCAGTATATCTTGTGTTAACAAACACAAGATATATTATTATTATATATAATTATCTGCCCCTAAATTGGTCCTATGAACTCTTCAGTAAACTGTTTCATTTTGTGTGACCTACTGTGGGGATGGGACTTTCGCTGCTCTCTTCATATAGCGGTTCTTTGTGGTCCTTTGTAATATTCTATGTCAGGATACCACTACAGAACAGACATGGGACCAAAAAAAAAAAGAGTGGAAAATGGATGATTTTTCATGAAATTTGAGTTACTGTTTGACTAAGGCCTGTTGTTCCAAATTGCTTTTTTAAAATGTTAGTTTTCCTTTCTTTCACCAAACTAAGGGCAAAGCATGATCTTTCATGTCAGGTGACTGACAGCAATGAACACTGCTCATCTTTTCTGCTTCATTGTATCTCCTTTCAGACTGTTGAAAAAAAAACCCCACAACCTACCTTCATTTACTAAATAATGATAGCATTCCCAAGAAGATCTTTATATTAAAATCCAATGTGCTTTAATAACTTGAAGGAGCAACATTTTCAAGTCAGGGTTCCTATATTATATGCAAATAGACGATGCCTGAGAAGCCATGAGAAGACTCTTCACAGGGTGCCTAGATTGGTTGTTCTTTCACCTTCATCAAGGTCAGAGAAGGGGGATGCAAACTCTTGTTATATGATAGCAAGGGACAAGAAGAGTTTTTGTGAGAGCTAAATGGGCCAAATGAGGTTATATCAACTTTTCAGATCATGGAATCTCTTCTGGGAAGGTGAACTATGTAACTTCTGCCAAGCTAGGTGATTTCCCATGTCTAAAAGGTAGTCCTTTGTCCACCTGCACACGTACTGGGTACAGTAACAGGCTGACAGACCTTCAACCATGGCAAATGAAGAACTAAGAAATCAAGTGCAGACTGGTAGACAGTAAATTTTGAGAAAGAGCACGCATAAAATGCAGTAGATGCTTTTCCAAAACGAGCTCCAGGATTGACCGTGGACTTGTTATCTCCTGATGTTGGGCTATATAGTAGGACACGTCCAGCAAAATGCATACAGCAATGACTTGACATTTCAATCCCACATCAAGAGTCTGCATCATCCTCTGTCTGTAATTCTGAGCCAAGTAATCATATTTTTTTAAAACTTTGGATACTGCCAAAGTGGCATAAAGCACCAAGAAGCGTCATCTAAAACCTTTACGTTATATCAAACTATGTTAAATGACTGCCACATACATAGAAACTGTCTTGCAAGGGCGCGTATGCATGCAAGTTTTATAAAAAACATCTTGCCTTTCTCTTCACAGTTCTTGGCATGAAAAGATACGTCTTTTAGTTTCACGAATTCAGCTGTATAGATCTTGAAGATACATAGCTCAGAACTATGGGATGACTGTCAAATAGTTTTGCTATGCATAAAAGCATTTTGGAGGTTAACCTTTATTATCTAGAAATGTATCGAAATAAGAATTAAGTGTTATCTTGTTATGGAATGGGATGAATCAAACTCCCTCCTCTGAAATACTGATTTTCAAAACAGTTACCTTTAAGCTGAGGTTGAAGGTAAAGATTGTTTCTGAGTATAATGCTTCAATTTATGGCTAAATTCCATAATAAAATATGCATATATCAGAATCACTTTCTCTAGCTTGGAAAGGAAAAAAGTGTTGTTTTCATTATTGCTGAACTTCAAAATGGCTTAAGGAATTTTGTTGGTCCTTTCCAAAGAAATTGAACTTCAGGCAGAGATTAAAGCAGAGGAAATTTTAGCCCAAGGGCAAATGTTTCAGAAAGTTTAAAGTATGTGAAACAGTGAGTTAAGTAGGAAATAGTTTTCAATCCTAACTATAGCCACACTAGTTATAATATATGGCTAAATATAGACTGGTGAGTGTGTCCAACTTTCTGAAGGTGTTATCCTCCCTCCTCTAAAACTTGCTTCTATAATGACCTTTTCAGGGCTATAACTAACTGTATAATATTGCCCATGTTGGAAAATGTTAAACTTCATTATTTCCCAGGTGAGCCCAGCCAAGCCCAACTTTGCTTTGCAACCAAAATTCCTTTTGAAAAATCCAACCTTTTATCTTTCATGTGACTCCAACTTTATAGTTGGGTTCATTTATCTTCAAGCAAACTGCACAATAGCCCTGAATATTTTGTTTATGTGTTAAAGGTTGTCACTTGGGTTATAAAGCTCTGTATAAATATTGGGGTCAATTTGCTAAAAACATTACTTTTGCATCGACTTCAAAATGCCAACCATAATGGTTTGGGCAAGCTGCAGATCCAAACTCCCTTGGACTTGCTGCTTGTGGTTGTGGGAATATATTGGAGCCTTTCAAAATTATGGCTAGTCTGTTTTTGTGCATTTTGTGTTTGGATGTAGAGTCTTTGGATTTCTTTTTTGTTTTGTTTGTGGTGATACTGTCATGTCTGATGACTGGCTATATATCCCAGAGCTAATATTCTGCTCTTTGGCTTTAATGCCGTATACCACTAGTCACTATATTGAAGTATGGTGTTAATGTCAAGGATGCTGTAATGAACATCTTGCACGTATTTCCTTTTGCATATTCAGTGCCTGTAAATGTCTCTGGGAATACATGCTTGCTGGTTTTGAAATTATTTCCTTACAGTTTGGTATAAATACTATTTATATACAAAGTTGTTTGATGTTATCCTTTACTCTTAATGATACTTTTCTAATTCTATTTTAGGAGAGGAGAAATTGATCTTTCTGAAATTAATTAGGAAATTGGTAGAGCCACTACAAATGGTAGCTATATGTGGCACTTCCTAAGTGCTTGAACTTAAGAGGTAAAAAATAATCTGACGAAGCACTAAATGCAATATAATAGATGACTGTATTTTCATTTTTGAAACTGAATGACTGCTGAAGGTGAACCAAATAAAGCAAAAGTATTTACACTCCTTTCCTTTTTGAAGCTATCATTAATATCACAAAAAAAAACCCACCCCAAACCAATACGTTTTTAAACTGAGAATATCCCCTTAAAATATAGGATTTCCAGCATACCTGGTATAAAAAGGTATAGTTTCCTTTATTGATTCAGAAAGAGATGTTAAAAATGTATGAAAGGTATTTTAGTGAGACATTGTCACAGGATCTTTTAAAATTATTTTCTCAAATGCTGTTTAACTCTTGTGCTTCTTTAGCATTGGAAACACTTGATCCCAGGTTACAATACATGGGATATTGAATTATTTTGTGGTGCTCAGAGGGTCTTTAAGATTAATTTGGTTTTAGGGGGTGGGGATTATACCAGTATCTGTTTACATAGCTTTAGACTCAAGACTGTAAGTTTGGAAAACTGTAATTATTCAGTAATTTATAGACTATTAAGATAGGTTAGAAATGATTATTGAACATAGTGAATAGAGAACTCATGCTTATAAGGGACAAAGAGATTCAGCATAATAGTGTATTTTTGGCCTCACCTATTTTGCAGGCAATTAGCAAAATAGGATGTTGCATTTTTGCATATCTCTTGCTCTCCTGAAATAGAGTCGCTAACCACTTGTTAACCACACTGATTTTTTTACAGACGAAGTGGTTGCTTATAGCTTCCCCACCAGAAATGTTCAGATTAAGCACACTATTAGATTGCAGCCAGAATAGTCTACAAAACAGGAAGAAAGCCTTGCCTTTCTCTCTGCCTTCTTCCCTTATTTACGTTGATGTGATAATTCATTACAGATTTTCTTGTTCTTTGACAGAGTGCCTACCGCAGAAATGGGATGACTTTTCTCGCCTGCTAATATGGATGTGGCTGCAGCAGCAGGAAAGACAGTGTTATATGAAGGTGATTTTCTTTTCCTTCATGGAAGGAAAAAAAATACAAGCTCCAATGTCTCCGTGTACCAGTGAGTGGGCTGGTTTGTTGTGACTATCTGCTGGCTGACTCTGTCTCTTTTTCCAGCCCCCTCAATCGTTATTCTTGTTTACTAGCTGGAACATTTAGCTAATTAATGGCAGGATGTTTGGGATAGGGTGTAGGTGGACAAGAATGCAGATCAGACAATGCTGAAGTTTGCAGGGGCCTTGCTGCTGTCAGCGTCTTTCTGAAATGCAATGTCATTTTTATTTAAGTCTTTGAAAGTCTGTATGTTCTACAGACTTTTTTTCTTGTAAAGCAGGATGGGGCAGAAAGAGGCCAGAGATAGATTGGGTAATATAGGTTTTTACAGATTATTAAAAGATTATCTATGCTTTCCTTATGATTTTTTTCTGAAAGAAAAACTGTTTTCCACAGTTTTCCACTATTTTCCACTGATTTCTCTCAACTAATTTTTGAGTGTTCAGACAGGGTAATCCAGTTTAATCCAATGAGGAGCTTTTTTATGAGAGTAATAGCTAGTTCAGATCCAAAGATAGTCAGAAAAAGAAGTTCAGATTAACTGTACTTTATCAGTTAGAGACTTTTCTTTTTGCAGACCCAAGGATAGGCTAAATCAGCCCCAAATTCTAAGTATTTAAGTCTCCTAAGGCTTGAGCCATCACTGTCTGAAATCAAGGAAAGCCTTTGAAGTGATTGGCAGTGGATTGGGCCCCTATTCAGAAAAATGCATCCTAAAGTACTTAAATAGCTGTGTCTGTCTCAGTGGTTGTAGGCAAAGGCTGCTATGTACTTGCTCAGCGCTTGCTGCAGGAAGCAGATGTTGTCTCTGTTGTTGACAAAGGCAGCGTTACTGTTGGATTTGGTTAAAGAAGAAATGGTCTCTTTTTTGCCTTTTTTGTATTTTAGTTCACGTTGTTTGTTTTCAGATTTATTTTTTAAATCTCAGTCCCTCCTTCTATGCTTCTTCCCATCTGCTGCTCCTCCAGCCTTCGCTGGCCTCACAAGCACATTCATTACTTCCCATAAAAACTGTACAAATATAGAGCTAACCACGATGATGCTTGACCAGAGAAAAGGGCTCATGCTTCAGCCCGTCATCAGGATTTACAAGCGTGGACTGCTTGTATCCCTGTGGTACCCCTTGGGCCCAGGGGTCTGCTCCAGCCACTCTAAGCCCAGCCTTGAAATCTGACTTAAACCTCAAACTAATACAGAGCGCTCAAGAGATCGTGAGGAGATCAGCAAAGTATCACTTTTATATAATTCGGCCATCCTCCTCCTTTGTGCGTAGTATGTGGGGTCTTAAGTTTTACTCCCACTGTATGCTCTTGTAGTCATTTGTAAGTGATTTTGTTGCCCTTCTTTCCTGGACCTGCTTGCAAAACCTTTAAAAATACCTATATATTTTAAATAAATGGAAAAATGCCTCTTCTCTTTACAACCAAAATATTGTAAAAGTGAACTTTAAACATCAAATATTACTGCCATTCATAAATTGCTTTTTTGTTTTACCTGCTTATGCTTCTGTTTTTTGGAATTAATCTGTGTGTAAAGGGCTAAAAAGTAATGTGTACAATGCAGTGTATTAAACGGGGGGGGGGGGGTTTTCTGATGTTCCATCTGTGCTTCTTGAAATATATGATTAAACTTTTCTTTTTATCATCACTCTTATTTTTTTTTTGTGGCGTCCTTAATCATGGAAAATTATATGCTTGCTGTAAACATCCAGACTTTTTAAAAGGACACCAGCATTTATTGTATTTGGTTTCGATGTGCAGGGATAGAGACAGAAGAAACCATTTCAGGCACTGGGTACTGGAATCAAAATTCCTTCTGTAGCTGTATCTCTCCCAGATTTTACATTTTAAAATATGCATAAGCAGGAAAAATACTGGCACTTACTTTTTACTGGTCTACTTAAAGTCCCAGAGAATGAAGACTCAACATACATTTCTCTCAGAAATATGACAGATCATGTTTTTGTTGGTCTGCCGTATGTTTGTCTATCTTGAACAGTCTGACAGGCAATTATTTATAAAATCTGGGTTTGCCCAGTAAACCCATATAATAACCTTTCACTTCTCTACACAAGTCAGAGAGCTGAATTTAGAGTAAAACAAGGTAGGTTATGTGTCCCTATCTTGGACTAACCCAGTTTATTCTTATTTTGGGAAGCAATCGCTTTTTTCCTCATCTTCAGGATTGTGCAGTTTAAAACACAAAAGTGACCACTAGGGCTTGCGCTGCATACAGAGCGTGTCCTAGCACCCTGCTGCAGAAGCAGAAGTGTATGTTTAAGCTGGTACTAGACATTTTATCTTAAACTTTTTTTCTGTATTATAAGTATAAAAATCAGTTTGAGATTCACTTAATGACTGTGTACAAATAGCTTTGTGCTTGTATGATTTCAACTTGCAGAATCTCAGCAAGGATTTGTAGTAACTGAATCAGGTTAATGCTGATTATTTAGCATCAGTTACCTGAAGAAGGGAAACAGCCAATTTCAGTAGGAATAAGACTCTGTAACATTTAAGGGTGTGGGGGTTTTGCTCCATGTCTGCCTTGCTACATGGTTATAGTACCTAGCTTTTCGGTTTCTTAGTCCAGCTATCCACAAAACAGGGATAATAATTCAGCTTGAAAATCATCAGAGGTGAGTGAGCCCCAACACAGATTTCTAACTGGGCTTTGTCTCATTTCCCGACCTGTCATTCCTCAGGCTTTCTTCCGAGAAAATGAAGCCCTTTAAAAGGCTCTTGCCTTCATCTGGAAATCAGGAGAAGCTGACAATGCTCGGTATTTCTCCAGAGACACTGAGGACCTTGCAGAATTTGCCCCTCTGGGTTTCCACAGTACACTTCTCTTTGTCAAGTGAAGATATCACTGGAGCGGGGGAAGTGTTTTCTGGCACTTCTTGAATTTAGATGAACCTTAGCGTTGTATTAACATTCTGCCATCAGCCATGCCTAGATCTCGTAAAATGTTTTATAGCTTCCCGTCTAGCTCATACAGAATGTTTCATAGTACATAAACACTTCTACTAATAATTTAAGAATAAATAGATAGTGACATTAGTCACAAGTCTAACCTCTAGTTGAATCTTACACAGTTATAGGGTGTGTTTTTTCTCTTGCCTAAATGAATCATCTTGTCCAAGGTTAGACTTTTTATACCTCTACTATATATCTACACCGAGTGGCAGTGCAGCTAGGGAAACGCAGTGGTGGCATGCATAAAATCCAGGGCTTTATTTGGAGGGCACAGAGCCAGCGCAATGCAACAGAGCCATCCCTGAAGGAATTGAATGTAAATTTGATGGTTTAAATAAGGCCAGATGCCTTAAAAAGTTATTTTGAAAGCTGTATCTTTAATGTAGCTCTTAACTTGTTTTTTCTGCTTCAGATAATGAAGTTGCCTTTGCAAAGTAATAAGAAAAAATAGCCCTCATCTATTGTGGGGAGACAAAAATCAGATACTTTGGCTTCTATAAATCACTGAAATGTTGGCAACTGAAACAAACTTCTAGAAGGCAAATGCCTGAAAATTTGAAGGAAACCTTCATATTTTACTGTTAGGAGCTTTTTAACTGTCTAGAGAGCACTCTAAGACACTACATTAATAGCCATTCTCAGTAATCAAGATCCACTATACTTATATACTATTTTGCCTAAACAAGATAGATTAATACTGGATGAAAGATAGAAAGATAAATAAGGAAAATCAAGAACTAAAATTATAATAATACAGTTTCATTTTACATTTTATAGCTCTCTTTATTTGTGATTGATAATTTATCTTAATTTCCATCATACAGAAATGCTGGCACAAGAGTCTTGTACCAATATCTCTGCATTTCTGGACTAGTCTTCGTCCAGATGCTTTGCAGATTTTCTTACTGATTTTGTGAAGATGTGATCTGTCAATCTTTGGTACTTGTATGACTTTGATTACTGTAATATCTTAGTGCCTTACAGTCTTCCATGTATTTATGCCTGCAGCACTGCTTTGAAATAATAATGCGTTGTTATCTCTATTTCTTCTGAGGTATGGAAAGGATGAATAACTGGCCCCATGTTGGGAAACTTGGAACGGTTCAAAAAACCTGGGTTTCCCAAATCCATACTGATGCTCTCAGTTCTAAGTTGTCTTCCCTCTGCAGTGAAAATGATAGGTGTATCAGAAAGCACATAACCCAGCCCCATGGGTTAGGAAAGTGGCAAAGGTAGTATCCAACTGGATCTACGAGAGGAAGCTGGGGAGGAAGAATGCAGTCACTCAATTTGGATCCAGTCCAAGACTCAACACTTTAAAACCTTGAGGCTGAAATGTGCCTCAGCCGTTTAATGACCTGGTGCAGAAACATAAACGTTACATTTCCACCAAAACATGGACTGAGGGATACTTTTCTTCCTCCATACCCTGCTGGATTTCTGCATCAGAAATCACCACGAGGGACATATTCTGGCAGTGCCAGAGTGTTCTTACGTTCATCTCCTCCCATCCTTCCTTTGGAAAGAGCATCAGAACTGCAAGAAACAATAGGAGGCACACAATTAAGAAATGTAGATGCCCTCTTTAAAATGGGGCAGCAGCTGTGATGGGTGTTCACAAAGGTAAAGTAATATGTTAACTTTTAATAAATGAACTGGATCTCAGTCTAATAAAGTTCAGCTGAATTGTGGTAGCTGATCTTCAGTATGTAACTTGTCCAGGAAGAAGAGAAGGTCTGAATACCAGAAGCCGTAGCAGGATTCAGAAAGTCAAGAGTCAATAAAGCAAGTTGGCTCAAACCAGTTCTGTTTAGCTCTCATTTCCATAAGTATTTAATTAATCTGCAAAATAAAATAACAACAAAGAAACTATTTCATTTCTTGTACTGACATGACTTCTTCAGATCTGGAAATGAAATGGCAGCAACTGTGTGTCAAGCCTAGGTGAAAACAAATCTGAAACGTCTCTTAAAGAAGGAGAAAGATGGTTTTTATAGGAGGAAGGCTCCAGCTGAGCTAGTCTCTCTGAGCTCCCTTGCTCAGATGATCGGAGCTGAAATTTGCTGCACATGCACAAATTTTGTTGTAGCTTTAAGTAAATTATTTCAGTAAATTAGATGTGACATGTCTAACTTTCTCCGTGTCACCTTGCCCTTACTTTACTATTTAAAGAATTTATATTCCTCTGTTTTGGAATATTATCAACATTTTTCTAGTCCCAAATTTTCACTGTTTAGCAGACTTTAGTGCAGGCAGAACACAAATACTTGGAAGCAATTATTAAGGGTTGCTTTTTACACCTGGCAAAGGGTGTCTTTGAAAGTCAGT